TAATTATTTTAAATGTAAATCATTAGATCAATTTGCTTCTAATTATACACTTAGATTTCCTCGGTTTGAAAAACTTCGTGAAGATAAAGATTGGAAAAGTGCTATGACCTATGAAGGTTATCTTTGGTTTTTTTAAATGATTTCATTAAATTGTGTTTGATAAAGATAGTCAATTTATATTATAACTTTAATTTCTGAAGAAATGATGAATCTTCGCAGACAAGCATCAGGGCGATTGCAGTCCAAGAAAGTCACCGAAGATGATTTAATGTAAGCTTAAGTTCAATCTATCAAGGTTTCTATAAATAAATTATGAAAATTAGTTCAGATATTAATATTTAATTTGGTGAAGTACGATCTCACGAGCTGCCAAGAGAAAAGGAAAGACTACAGCGCCGCGCAGAGTAAGACAGTTCAGGTTCACACATGATTTGTTTTATATTCCGTTTATCTAATTTATTAATTCTTATTTTAGGTCAAGAAATATACTATGCTTGAAACCTTTACATCTAATATAGGACAGGTGGAAGAAAAATCTATGATATTTAAAGATATGAAATTTCGTAAGAATCTACTTTATTCGTCCTATGATTTGTCATTTTACATATGGACTATTAAATAATTTGGAATTTCGTACAGACATAATGTTAACAAGATATAAAGAATATTCAAAAGCAGATTTTGAGCGTATGATTAAAGAACATGGTGGAAGTTATTCTCAACATCCTGGTACTGATTCTGAAATTCATCTAATAGCCGAGGACGCATCAAGTATGTTTAATAAATTAATCGTACACATCATTGCAAAGTTCAAAGTTTGCAATTCTTGGATATTTTGTGATTATATTTACATAATATCATAATAGACTTTCGCGTCAAAAATCTTATCAATCAGGGCGTGAGAGATATCATTCATCCTCGATGGATCTTGGAATGTATTAACGCTTTCAAACTAATTCCCTTAAGTCCAAAGTTTGTGATTTGTTTTTATTTAAAAATCAATATTTTAAATTTGTGCATATTAGACAAACATTCTTCTATTATTTTACAGATATATGATATTTATTACTGAATCAACAAAGCACGAATTTTTAACGAGAATGGATGAATGGGGAGATAGTTACGCAGATGAAATTACTACGGAAGAATTGCAAGAAGTATGTAAAATATATTCCAGTATTCACCTATATCATATATTATACGTTTTCGTTTTTGGTGATAATTCCTATTTTTTTCACTATTTCAGATTTTTGAGTTAATGCCCCTAGATGAAAAAAATATCAATTCGAATCCTCAAAAGCGTCGTAAATTAGCTGACGAAATTGAGGAACGTTATTTTGCTGATACAGGATTACCAAACTGTCTATTTCGTCGTTGTGTGGTTTATATTGATTATCCACCATCTAGAGAACTTGTACAAGATAAGAACAAATTATGGGCTTTATATGAAGGATGTCATGATCGGTTGGTTAATATTACCTTATAAAATTTTTCTAGTTCTTATATTTATCTTTGTTGTATGATTATTATATAATAGGTTAAAACTCATCGAATTGACTCTTCGATATCACGATGCTCAAATCGTAGCCGATTTTTCGAAACGTAATGTTACCCATGTTATTTTTGACGAAAAAGATTTGAGTAGATATAGCGAAATAAAAGATTTTCATGAAAAGTTTGTAACAATTTATTATAATTTTATTTCTGCGATTATTTTGTTGTTTATTTTAATTATCTAAATTCTGTAGGCGTAATATGTTACCGTGTTATGTACGTTCTTCATGGGTCACAGACAGCGAAAATTGTGGTGTTTTACTGGATGAGAACGGTAATTGATTATTTTTAAAAATTTATTTTTATTATAATAATATATATTAATCTATGTCCTTTTTGTGTATTATAAACAGAATATATTCCAAAGATTTCATAACAATAATCAACAATTTACATAAGCTCAATGGATTATTGACTAATATGATTAGGTTTATATTAATTATATCAAACCTTATTCAATTTATTAATATTTTTAAATAAGGAAATGTTTTCATTTATTTCATTTGTTTTAATGGTAGTTAATATAATAAATGCAATTCAATAAATTAACCGTCCATTTTGGCGCTAAAATAATTGGAAAAAAATTAGGCCCTGAATCTTAGCTTAAAATTAATCGGTGTATCCCTGAAAAGTCAAGTCACATGATAATAAAACGCGTTTTAGCTTACGTCATGTGATCCAAGCGAATGGCAAAATTTCGAATCATATGAAATTTGCTATGCTTCGGCCGCGAAGTATATGAACTTTTCAAATCACCCCAAATATGAATGAAAAAAAGATATTATATGCTAGGAGTACTTATCTAAATAAAAATTTATGTTATTGGATTAATTATACTATGAAGATTAACTTTAGCATACTTACATTAATAAATTGATGAATGTTTGCAAAGATAAATTCTCAAATCCAAATGGAGTGAAATATATGGGGAGGTCAGTAGAAAAGGGGGAAATCCACTTTTTAGTCAAAAATTTTTTTATTGTCTCACTCTGCTGATCATAGTCATGTGAACAAAACTAGCTTAATAACTAAAATTACTCAAAATTTGTAGATTTCTCTTTTCTATTGACCACCTCCCACATGTCTAAATTAATAAAAATAAAATTATTATTATTGTAAAGAAGAAAACAAATCCTACATTTTTTCTATTCGAGTCTATATATAAAGTAATATGAGTCTTGTGATATATTTTTTTTAAATAAAAATATTAATAATCCTTATAAAGTTCCCATTTTAAGATCAACAAAACACTTGTTCATGATACTCTTTTTGGTTAAATCAATCTGTATAATTTTGACTGCAAATTTAATATAGATTATTCTTAATCTTAATCTTAATTCTAATCGATTAGGTATGTTCGTTGATTATAGTAGATATTAGATTCAGAATGATGATACCCTACCCTTCTATCTTTCATATTTAGGTTATACAGTACATATAACTTAGTCACAACTAATAAATTTAATAAAATTCAAATTGCTACTCCTTATTCAAAAAAAATAATAAATACCAAATCTTATTATAGAATGATAGAACTATTTAAGAAGAATACAACTATAGTTTCAAATTTGCTATAAAACAATTTTTGGTGGAGTAGTAGCAATTCGAAGTTGAGATAATTTTACTATTAGACTAATATTTTTAGCCACGCTTGCATATTATCACGTGATAAATATTCTCACTATTGATTGGCTGATTTTTATTTCGTAATACTGAAAGCCAAAATGGATTTAAGCAGATTTCAGTTTTTAGTTCATACTTGAATAAACGAAAGTTTTTTAAAGCTGCTAAAGATAAGTATTTTATTTAATTGCTATTATTAATACAGTCAACACTTGTTATAACGAACTCTATATCCTAGACCTCAACTTCACTATAAAGTTATAGTGAAGATTTTAAGAGATTTGATTGGGCAATTCGCTATAACAAGAGTATTTTTATTATATTTGTTCAAAAATTCGTTATATCAAGAGTTCGCTATATCAAGAGTTGACTGTATATATATATTCATACATATTTACTAATTTTTTACTTTTATTTTTGTCTATAGCCAGTGTAAATAAACCAGTGTGTCTAATTTGCCTAAATATTAACTGTTTGTAAAACTGAATTGGAAACTCAGCGATGTGAATAATATTTTTTAACTATAAATTCTGCAGCCCGACCTGTTAAGTCTTTCTAGTATACATTATATAATGAAATACTTTTATTGCATACCGACGAATAATTGTAAGTGAAACAGATGTAAGAGCTAATAGAACAGTTCTTTGCAATTCTATTCACAAGTAACCACAATTTGACTAACTAAATTTCTTTGCTGCACCCTAAAAATTCTCAATATAATTGAATTCACAATAAAATTTAGGATAAAATATAATTTGATGCTCAGCTGTAACAATAACCTCTTCTAGTCGACTCTTTTATGCTAAAAAATCTGGTTGCTAACTAATTATTTTTTGTGTTTCTTTCAATTTCAACCTCCCATCTGGCCACAATTCCCTTTCTGTTAGAACTTGTTTTAACTCTTTTGGCTGTCTATACAATTAGGAATATGATAATTTAGCGGAAAGACCATTTCTTGTTGAATTCTCTCACCAAAATACGTGCTGCGTATTTTCAGTTACTTTCTACCAGAGCTGAGATTCATATGTTTGGCAATAAGTGCATCTGATGAAAAAGCAACATGACTTGATGCATTATCAAATGCAAATAAGGCCTAGCATCCTGGAAAGCGCGCTTCAAATATAGGAATAGCACGTTCAATTACTTAGTTTACCAAATCTTTAGCCTTCCACCATCCATCGTTATTTTTGCCTAAATGCATAATGATACAGACCCCTTTAGGGAAATCATTTGATACCTGTATTACATCAGAAAGTACAAAACGGCCACAGACATCAGTCAAAAATCGCTAACATGTATTGAGCAACCATTTCCCTTTTTTCTTAAGGGTTGTTCTTCATTAGAAATCCAAAGACTTTGACTTCTATTATAAGTTGAGAAAATGCATTCATCGTGTGTAACAAGAATAAGTGAATCGTTAGACCAGGTTATTTCTTTTAAGTTATCTTCTGAAAAGTAGGCATTCTACATTCAAGTTCATTCATTTGTTCTAAAAATATTTTTCGATAGGTCACCATGTCTTTTCTTTCATATCCATCTATATACATTTCCTTTTTTACCTTAGCATATGTATATTCAAGCTCTTTTAAATAGTTTCTCACAGTATTAAGGTAAATAGTTGGAGATAGTGCAAATCCAAGCCATGGTAAAATAATTTCATTCATTTGTATCATTAATTTTTGTAAAATAATTTCCCGCTTGTGCTTCTGAACATATGATTTCACTTGGAGAAGAATATCCTTATCCCAGAGAAAGCTTCATATTTTAGCATGATGTCCTTGATGGGAGTAAAGAATTTTGCGATTCATTACATACTTACATACCTAAGAACGAATGCATTTGGCATGATATATTTCTTTTCCTGCCACATTAGCAACAATTTCACTTGCTTTCATCTTTGGATGGTTGCATTTTATAAACTGAAGATAAAGACAGATGCTATTTAAACGCACCCAAACCTCACTATTTGTTTTTTCATTTTTAATATCTAATTCCATACTTTTAAGAGCATCCAGAATTTTATTATTCCAATTGTAATTCCTAACCTTATTATTTGACTGTTCATCAGCATCATTATCAGCATCATTATCCACTTCTATATCAGTCTCATTATCTAATTCTTCAGTTTCTTCAGTAGGTTTTTTAACATTCTAAAAGGTATGTAACTTAAGGATCCCTTTTGCTGCTTTACGTTATTGCTGATTCTTTTTTCTTTTAGTGCGGCTTGAGTTTCCTATATAACATGATCTACATATTTCTTGAGAAGCATGTTTCTGGTGATACTTTTTTGCTGCTTCTTAAAGTTTTTTTACAATACTTATGGCATTATTAATTTCTAGTGGCTCATTATGAACAGAAAAATTATCATCATTGTAAAAAAAAGTATTGTCAATATCAAGATCTTTAACATCATCATAACCTTTCAGCTCATTATGGAAATAAGTATCATTAATATTAGGATAGCTTTCAGAAACATCAATATTAACTTGTGTATTAATGTCACTTTTGGCATACTGATGCTTAGTCTTTACTTCATGAGCCTTTCTTAAGTGTTTTTGACATTTTGTTAGACGTGGCATATTGGTAAATTAGAAATCTTTAATAAAGTCTAGTTAGCAAATAATAAAGTATCATGATACAGGTAAGTCAACTGTTTTTATTATTAATTGATATTGATTTTTTATAAGTAAAAAATTTAATCATAATACGTAGAGATAATGCGTAAAGACAATGTGTAAAGACAATGTATAGAGTAAAATTTTATATTTATCACGTAAAAAAAAGATGAAATTAAGTTACACGTGTCATAAATTAGCTAAAATATTTAATACCATGGAATCCCGTTTGAACTTCCGAAATCTCTAAACCTATTTAATACCGTAAAATCCCATTCAAACTTCCGAAATTCCTAAAACCTATTTATAATATAGCCAATATTAATGTAACAAATAATTTTGATTTTGGAAGATCCAATACCGTAACAATTTAATAAATACTGAATACGCTTTCAAAGCATTATAACGCAAAATATCTTTTATTAACAATAAATGCTAATAAAGTTATATAATATAATAATTATACTTTTCCAACCATATTATCACGTGCTTTTTAACCAATAAAATTACAAGATTATTCTGTCACATGATTGAAGATCAACATCTCAAATTTGGCTGCTTGAAAATTTTTTGGTTAGGACTAAATTGTATGCACTGTATATAATTTATTTTCAGATTATATAATAAAAAATATTTGGGTTTTTTTAACAATATAAAAGCAAAAAAATATTATTTTTTATTAATTAACGACACATGAAAAATAAATTATTTTAACCAAATAATGTTAGTAATGAAGTGCCTTTTGGGATGATAGTAGATTATGAACGTTAACTCATCTTAATCAGCATTTAAATGGTAATATTTTTCAAGGTTTCTATATATATTTTCTAATATTTTTATTTTATAATAATAAAAATAATCAATTGAATTCAGAAATATGCTGACAAAAATTAGCAGATTCTCTTTTTTTTGTATTTTTACTTATATTAATTTTTTTTTGTTAGATAATAAATAAAATAATGAAAAGATTTGAAAAAAAAAAAAAAATTTTTTTTTGGCAAAAAAATAAAAAATAAAAAAAAAATTTTTTTTATCAAGAAATTATTCTTTGTCAAAAAAAAAATAATGTTAGCAAAGATTTTTATAATTTGCTATATTCATAAATGTACAAAATGACTAATCCAAAAAATTTACCATTAAAGAGATTACTGCATTATTTAGAATTGACGATAATGATCTAACGAAAAGTTATATATTTAAAAGTTAAGACATTCATTCTATCAGATCAAAATATTGAATCTCAAATTGAAGATTTTAATACTAATAATGTAGTTTCTTTGAAAGGGAAATTTGTTATGTATTCTGAATATTATTCTATATATTGTCACTGGGTTCATTTTCATTTATCTTAACGTCTAAGTTGAAAAGCTGCGGCAGCTAATTTTACACATTGGAGTTTCTGACCTTAGGATTTTCTTTAAGTCCTACAGGTATCCGTTATATTTGAATCAACTCGGCAATTTATCACATCTTAGAATTTAAGATACGTTAGTCGAACTCGTAATGATGAACTCAATAGCAAGTTAGTGTAATGTATCACAACAATCCTAGATAAGAAATAACGTTGAAGGGAAAAGTAAATTGTGTGGATTTAGATTGATTCCTTTATTTATAACTTGAAACTCGCAGAAGAGTTAATAAACTTGCAGAGGAGTTAATTTACAACTTAAGC